TGGTGGTGATGGTGATGATGGTGGTGGTGATGATGGTGGTGATGGTGATGATGGTGGTGATAATGGTGGTGATGGTGGTGATGATGGTGATGATGGTGATGATGGTGATGATGGTGATGATGGTGATGGTGATGATGATGGTGATGGTGATGATGGTGGTGATGGTGATTATGGTGGTGATCATGATGGTGAGGGTGGTGATGGTGGTGATGGTGATGATGGTGATGACGGTGATGATGATGATAATGGTGATGATGGTGATGGTGATGATGATGGTGATGGTGGTGATGATGCTGATGATGGTGATGATGATGGTGATGATGATGATGATGGTGGTGATGATGATGATGGTGGTGATGATGCTGATGATGATGGTGATGATGGGGGTGGTGGAGATGGGGGTGGACGGCTACAGTGGTGGTGATGCATTTCTTACTGGGCATTTTCTTTTCCTCTCAGCATTGTCTTCCCAAAAGCAGAGAGAGAGACACCTGCCTCTCTCCCTCCCCCTTCTCCAGGGTGCCTGTGAAGAGTGTTCAAGAGCCTCATTAGCCCTCCCTGGTGTCTATTTCAGGACGTCGACTGGGTACAGACTGAGAAGCACGTGTTTGAGCAGGCATCCAGCAGCCCTTTCCTGGTTGGCCTACACTCCTGCTTTCAGACGACAAGTCGGTAAGAAAAAGAAAGGTGTTTGTGATATTTTGCTGGATTCTGATTTGAACTACATGAAAGCTGAGACTGGCCTGCAGTTTCACCAGCCATCCTAGGGTTCTCCCAATTACAAGTACGGGTTTGTGAGTCGTCAGACTCACTTTGTTACTGTCATGGGTTGGTGCCATACCGAGTACATTTCATACTTTGGAGCTTAGATTATTCAGTTCTATTTATGAAATATGTACTGGAGGCATCCCCCTGAGTGCAGGCATTGGGTCAGGCGCTCGGGAGGCCACGGTGAGCAAGAGAGGTAGGGTCTTCCTGATTAGTGGAGTAAATTAGCGAACACTAAGAGCTTTGCTTGTGAGCCTCACATGTGTTAGAATTCTGCTGCTTTAAAAAAGTTCGAAAACAAGTGGCCTAGGATATTAAATATATGTTCTGTTAAGAATATTTTTTTGGCCAGCTGACCTAGACTCACCCAATGGTTTATTTGGAAAGTTGTTGAATGTGTTCTGTGTCGAGTCCTCCAGAGCACACCCCAGGTTCGATGATTCACTGGGAGGACTCCAGGACTTGGCATGTAGTTGTGCTCAAGCCCGAGGTTTGTCGCACTGAAAGGGTGAAGCGGAACCGGCAGAGGGCAACGGTGCATGGGGTGAGCTCTGGGGAAAACCAGGCACGCGCTTCCCGGAGCCCTCTCCCAGTTCCTCCAGCAACCAGTTGTATCACCCAGGGTTTTTACTGAAGGCTGGTCACATAGGCACCGTCTCTCCAGCTCAGGGGAAAATTCCAGACTCCCAGGAAAAAAACAGGTGTTCGTGATTGTGTTGGGCTTCTTTAGAGAAACAGAACCAAGGGCGTGTGTGTGCACATAGGAGGATTGATTGTAGGAGGGAAAATTCCAGACTCCCAGGAAAAAAACAGGTGTTCGTGATTGTGTTAGGCTTCTTTAGAGAAACAGAACCAAGGGCGTGTGTGTGCACATAGGAGGATTGATTGTAGGACTGGCTCACTGATTAGAGAGGCTGAGAAGCCCTGCGACCTGCCCTCTGCGAGCTGGAGGCCCAGGCGAGCTGCTCATGCGGTTCGAAGGCCTGAGAGCCGGGAGCGCTGACGGCGGGAGATACCAGCCCAGCAGTCGGGCAGGGCAAGTCCGGCCTTCCTCTGTCTTTTGTCCCCCGCGGGCCTCAGTGGCGTGCGTGGGGCCCCGATGCTGGGAGGGCTGTCGGCTGCATTCACTGTACCGACTGTCGCTCCGTGACCCCCCCCAACGCCACTGATCTACAGGGCCCTGTTCTCACCTGTACTCAGTGGCCACCGGGCTGTCCAGAGCACTGGAGTTTTAACTGTCCTTTCCTGAGCTGGCCTAGCTTGCTGTATGCCATCATGGTCGGTGGCACTTTTATCATCCCCGTCCCCCAGGCTAGAAAATCTGCAGTTGTCCCCTCCTCAGTCCTCACTGGTCCCACCTCCGGAGTATGTCTCGGGCTCCTGCCCTTCTCCCGCCTGAACCCGGCCTCAGCCTCCCCGGGGCGTCCGGTCCCTGGGCTCCCCATGCTGTCGGTTCCCCGCGGCGGAGCTGAGCCGTGTTTAGAGACGCAGATCTGAAGCATCTTTCCCCTGCTTCAAAGCTCCTCTGATTACTTCCGCAGTTGCCTCTGGGGTGGGATCCAAGCTTCCCGGGCGTGTGCACAAGGCCATGGTGACCAGGCCCCAGCGTGCCAGCTGGTCCCCACCACCGTGCCTGTGCCGCACTGCCTGGTGGCACCCGTCGCCCTCAACCCCCTCCCCCAGCAGAGTCAGGGCCCCCTTTGTGTCCCCTTGTGCTCTCCCTGCCTTGGTGTCAGCCCCGGCCACAGTCTCTTGTGTTACAGAACACGCCCAAGGGAAAGCAGCCCGTCCCAACCCCGTGCTTCCCAAATGCTGAGAGTCAGAAAGGGGGCTTTTGTTTTGGTTGATCTTCATCTATAGACTCGTATGTATGTAGATTTAGAAAGAGTCAAATATTTCGGCCTCTCTTCCACCTAAGCTACCTGAAGAACAGCACTCTCTGCACCTACACCCCTGGAAACCTTCTCCCACATCACAGGTTCCCAAGTACATAGACGTGGGACCTGAAAAAGTAAATCTACCCACCTGTGTTTATGTGCGATCCCCACAACGCAGCCCTCCCTAGACTTCATTTCTTAAGTGATGTTTACGAGACCTGTTTACAACAGTTTTCAGCCTCTCAGCTGGGGGCCACATCCCGGGAATGGTTTAACGTGCATGTCTCATTTACCTCTTTTTTTCTTTTTTCACTGAGTCTGTTGATGACTTCTAGACTTGTCTGACGCGTGGTTGGTCAGGACATTGTGTCGGTCCCCAGCTGTTGTATGTGTCTGCTTGGACCCCGAGTGTATCCACAGGCCTGTCTCCCCCTTAGATGGGAACTCCTTACAGCAGGGCTATGCTGTGCGTCTGTGTCCCCAGCGTTCAGTGAAGTCCTGGCACGTAGTAGGCAGCAGTGGTATTAGCTGATACTTTTATTAAGAAAAGGTAAAAACAGCTCTTGTACAAATGTAAAATGAACATGTGTCAGATCTTATGTGACTCGTAGTGAATGAGGGAACTGGTAAGAGGTGAGACCTGCTCACGGTCCTACACCGATGCTGCAACAGGTCATGAATAGATGCAGTGTCCGTGGGGGTTGCTTCCAGGACCCCCTGTGGATACCAAAACCCAAGGGTGCTCAAGTCCTAATACAAAATGGTGTAGTATTTGCATATAACCTATGCACATCTTCCTGTCTACTTCAAATTGCCTCTAGATAATTTATAATACTTACTGCAATGTAAAGACTACATAAATAGTTGCAATACTGTATTGTTCTTTTATTTTTATTATTTTTTATTGTTGTACTATTAATTTTTTCTGAATATTTTCCATCCACGGTTGGTTGAACCCACAGACGTGAGACCCACGGATTCGCAGGGTGGGCTCTCTAGCACAGGCTTGGGGGATGGGGGGTCGACCGTCCTTTCATCGACAGACCTCATTTGCATGTCTGCAACAGGCACTGTGTGCACTGCTATCGGTGTGTACATCCTGCAGAGTTGGGAAATAGCCCAGAGACCATGAAAGACGCTGTGCAAATAGGTGGCCTAGAGGAGTACACGCCAGACAGCACCTGGTGTCCTAGGAAGACACCTGGTCATCGTCTTGGGGTGTCAAAGCCTTCCACAGTTTTTCCTGACGGCCGTGCAGGCCAAGGCCCAGGAGCCCGCGCCTGCCAGCTGTGCAGCCTGGCTCGGCGTAGCCCACCTCAGAGGGCTGCTGTGGGAGCTGTACGGGAAGACACTGAAATGTTTACAGCAAGGCCTGGCTCGGGGAAGCCGTGGGTGACATGAGCTACCGTTGCGGGAGGGCCTTTCTCCTCGTTGGCACTGTGTCTGTAACCAAATGACCTGGTCGCGTTGTGCGTGAGCCCCGATGGGGATGGGCCCCAGCAGAGGCCTCTGTGGGACATCGGGTGGCTGTTGAAACTGTGCCCACAGATCCTCACCACTTCACAGGGGTTTGACCAGCAGCAGCCACAGGGACACCCCTGCAGGCGCAAGTCGTGAAATCCGACAAGCCTCCTGCACGTCCTGGTGGTGGAAAATCTGGGCAGCCCAGGCCTGACTCGGGTTCCAAGGGACCTTTTCCTGGGGGCTGTGCTTGGCCGTGTTGCTCCCGGGCTGCTGGAGGAACTCTCACGTGTTACGAGGACTTTCTCTTCGTGCGTTGGCTTCATGCTGAAACGGCCACCCTCGGGTTCTGCCACAGGCCTGCTGCTAGGGGCCGGATGAACGTCACCGCTACCCAAGTTCCCAGCAGGATCACACACGCGGGAAACTGGCTCCTCTCTGGAGCAGTACCGCGTGCTCCCTGGCAACCTCGAGTGGAATCCGGTAAATAACACAGCACAGGTTTGCCATGAGCATGGCCGTTGAGACGGAGTCTCTGAGTGGAAAGATGAGGGTGTCTGTCTGTCCTCCCCAGACCCAGCGGCGTACGTCCATATTCCCTGGGCAGCTGCGTGGAATTCCTGAATTTTCAGCCGTCATGTCACCCATGTATACGCATGGTGTGAGGCAAGAACAGCAGTGTCGTTAACACGGAATGAACACCTGTTTTGTGACATACCACACTCTGTATCCGCAGACAGCCCCCACGTCCATATTCCCTGGGCAGCTGCGTGGAATTCCTGAATTTTCAGCCGTCATGTCACCCATGTATACACATGGTGTGAGGCAAGAACAGCAGTGTTGTTAACACGGAATGAACACCTGTTTTGTGACATACCACACTCTGTATCCGCAGACAGCCCCCCATCTTTTCCAAACAGCCAGAACTAAATTAGCCACAAGATCTCCAAAACAGGGAAAGTGCTCCGGTTTCAGCTGCTCCAGGGAAAACGGGTGATCTGAAGGTCGTAGCTGAAGTTACTGGTTTTACCTCCTCCACGCCCACCACGTTAAATTGTGGTCACCTCAACGTGATCCCAGATCATAGACGAGAAAGCCGCTATTAAATTATTTACTGTTCTGGAATAAAAGCTGCGACTCCGGCTCGGTCTGTTCCACACTCGTTCTCCCGCGTGAGGAGCGTGTGCGCTCGTTTATGGAGCAGCTGCACCTGCACCTGCCGCACCGACTCAGCACCTCAGTGAGTTCTTGCCTCGAGGTGGCTTCAAGATACTGAATGCCACTTAATCCTGCACTGTTCTTTGCGTGTTATTCTTTACAAATTATACCTTAAAACCTGCCTGCTGCCCTGAGAGGGAGACAGCTTCACTCAACAGGGCAGGGGCGGCTCCTCTGGACTTGGTCACCAGGAGCAGGAGGTGCAGCATGTGAGGAGCCACTGCACAAAGCAGACTGCACGTGTGTCTGCTCGAGACACTGGGGTGCTGTGAGGAGAGACGCGAGCAAGCAAGGGTCGGGGTCACACAGAGGGACCTCAGCCAGCCCGAGGGCCTCAGAGGGACAACC